TGTGCTTTCTCCTGACAGGTGGGTTCGACTTGGACATCAAAGGCTGGGGCGGAGAGGACGTGCACCTCTACCGCAAGTACCTGCACAGCAACCTCATTGTGGTGCGCACGCCCGTGCGGGGCCTCTTCCACCTCTGGCACGAGAAGCGCTGCGTGGACGAGCTGACCCCTGAGCAGTACAAGATGTGCATGCAGTCCAAGGCCATGAACGAGGCCTCCCACGGGCAGCTGGGCATGCTGGTCTTCAGGCACGAGATCGAGGCCCACCTTCGCAAGCAGAAGCAGAAGACAGGCAGCACAAAGACTTGAACTCCCAGGGAGGGGCTTGGGGAGACTTATTTCCCTTTCCTTTTGCAATTACCGAAAGACAGACTGCAATGAGGAAAAGATTTGCCGTAAGGGGCAACAGAAGAATTGAACTGGTTGGTTGAGGAGATGAGAGAGGAGCAACACCATTCTCCGTTCTCGCTCTCTCTGCACGCAGTCAGCTGTGCGCAGCAGAAACGGAATCTCCCACTTGGCCTGCAGAAGTGGCCCGCGGGCAGCCTGGGCAGTGACTTGACAAAGGCAGGGTGACGGCAAGGTTGTGAGCGGGCAGTGTGCTGCTTCCAGCTAAGTGAGATCTAGTGCCTACCACGCTCTCTGAAATACTCATGAGTTAAGACCAGTAATGAAAGGCAAGCACACACCCCTACACACCACCCCCCACCCGTCCCACATGAATGATTAGGTCAGACATTTCCAGGAGGCCTGTGAGATGTGGAGATTCACTCGTTGAAGTCCTTGTGAGTCTTTGGAACAAAACCAAATGGGCCAACGGGGAAGAAACCATCAATACTGTGCCATTCCCCCGGAAGATTCACCAAAAGTGATCTGGCTTTCTCCCCCCCCTTTCTTTCTTTTCCCTTTGGACTTGTAACGATCTTTGCTGGCTGATTTGGTTTAAACATGCCCGTTGCATTTTGCAGGCAAGGTCCACTCTGCTGATTTAAGTGCCAGTTTGCAGCCCTTCC